CTAGTTGGACTAGGAAAGGGGGAATCCTAAAAGAACTCCCCTAGGGCGCGCCATAGAGAGGGCCGGCCCTCCCCTCCTCCACTCCTTTATATACAGGGGTAGGGGGCACCCCATGAACACACAAGTTGATCATCGTGATCATTCCTTAGCCGTGTGCGGTGCCCCTCTCCACGATATTACACCTCAGTCATATTGTAGCGGTGCTTAGGCGAAGCCCTGCGACGGTTGAACATCAAGATCGTCACCACACCGTCATGCTGACGGAACTCCTCCCTGAAGCTCTGCTGGATCGGAGCCCGGGGTGCGTCATCGAGCTGTACGTGTGTCAAGAACTCGGAGGTGCCGGAGTAACGGTGCTTGGATCGGTTGGACCGGGAAGACGTACGACTACTTCCTCTACGTTGCGTCAACGCTTCCGCTTCGGTCTACGAGGGTACGCAGACAACACTCTCCCCTCTCGTTGCTATGCATCACCATGATCTTGCGTGTGCGTAGGAATTTTTTTGAAATTACTACGTTCCCCAACAGATCTTCCAAGGGCGGGCATTGACCCCGGAAAGGTGTGTCCGGCCAGAGTGATCGAGCGTGTTGGAAAACTTGGTGCACCCCTGCAGGGAAGATTATCTATTAATAGCCGTGTCCACGGTAACAGACGTTCAGACTTATATCCTGATTTTATACAACTACAAATGGATACTTGAGATATGTGGCCCCAGGATTGCTTTCTCGCAGGGAGTTGAGGAAGGATCTCTGGGCGTTAATGCTACAACATGTTTGTTAATTAGAAACTGCTATTTTTACTCTTCTACATGCTGCAAGATGCTTGGAGCTGCTTGAAGATGCTAGTCTTCGATAGGCTAGGCCTCCCCCCTCTATTCTAGCATTCTGCAGTTCAGTCCACAGATACAATCTTTCCATTTGATACCAACGCATACTTAGTATAGATCTGATGCTTGCGAGTACTTTGGATGAGTACTCACGGTTGCTTTGCTCCCCCTTTTCCTCCTTATTCCTTCTTTCTGGTTGTTGCAACCAGATGGTGGATCCCTGGAGCCAGATGCCACCGCTGATGGATGCTACTACATGGAGACCGCCGATGACCAGGAGTAGTTAGGAGGTCCCAGGCAGGAGGCCTTGCCTCTTTGACTGTGTTGCTTTTGTACTAGCCTTCTTAAGGCAAAACGTGTTTAACTTATGTCTGTAGTCAGATATTGTTGCTTCCGCCGACTCTTGTGTATCGAGCTATGTATTCGAGCCCTCGAGGCCCCTGGCTTGTAATATAAAGCTTGTATTATTTTGATTTGTGTCTAGAGTTGTGTTGTGATATCTTCTCGTGAGTCCCCGATCTTGATCGTACACATTTGCGTGTATGATTAGTGCACAATTGAATTGGGGGCGTCACAGTAGGTATGGTGGCTGTTTTGAGGAAGGTATATGGTGGGTGTATAATACCGGCGAAAGTTGCGCGACACAAGAGAGGCTAGCAATGGTGGAAGGGTAAGAGCGCGTATAATACATGGACTCAACATTAGTCATGAATAACGCACATACTTATTGAAAAAATCTACAAGTTATCAAAACAAAGTACTACACGCATGCTCCTAGGGGAAGGGTTGGTAGGAGTTAACCATCGCGCGATCCTGACCTCCACACATAAGGAAGACAATCAATAAATAAATCATGCTCCAACTTCATCACATAATGGTTCACCATACGTGCATGCTACGGGAATCACAAACTTTTAACAAAAGTATTCCTCAAATTCAAAACTACTCAACTAGCATGACCCTAATATTACCATCCTCATATCTCAAAACAATTGTCAAATATCAAACTTCTCATAGTATTCAATGCACTTTATATGATAGTTTTTATTATACCCATCTTGGATGCCCATCATATTAGGACTAAATTCATAACCAAAGCAAATTACCATGCTGTTCTAAAAGACTCTAAAAATATTATAAGTGAAGCATGAGAGTTCATCTCTTTCTTCAAAATAAAACCACCACCGTGCTCTAAAAGAATATAAGTGAAGCACTAGAGCACTTGACAAACTACTCTGAAAGATATAAGTAAAGATCAATGAGTAGTCGAATAATTATGTAACTATGTGAAGACTCTCTAACATTTAAGAATTTCATATCTAATGTATTTTATTCAAGCAACAAGCAAAGTGAAATAAAATGACATTTCAAGGATAGCACACATCATGTGAAGAAGAAAAAACTTAGGTTCAACCGATACTAACCGATAACTGTTGAAGAAGAAAGGTGGGATGCCTACCGGGGCATCCCCAAGCTTAGATGCTTGATACTTCTTGAAATATTATCTTGGGATGCCTTGGGCATCCCCAAGCTTGAGCTTTTGTGTCTCCTTAATTCCTTTTATATCTCGGTTTCCCTAAATCTCAAATACTTCATCCACACAAAACTCAACAAGAACTCGTGAGATAAGTTAGTATAAACCAATGCAAAAACCTTATCATTCTCTACTGTACAAAATCACAAAAATTATTATTCAACATTGCATACTAAATGCCTCTTCATAATTAATACTCCTATCCTCAAATAGAATCACTAAACAAGCAAACATATGCAAACAATGCAAACATAACAGCAATCTGCCAAAACAGTACAATCTATAAAGAATGCAAGAGTATCAATACTTCCCTAACTCCAAACATTATGAAATTCTACCAAAATGTAGAAAATTTATCAGAGCTTATTATGCAATAAGCTTCAACAATTTATCATATTCTGGCTTTTCTAGGGAATTTTTGGAACAGCGATAAACTTTCTATTTTGAAACAGCAACATGTATACTTGCAAATAAGCATGGTAAAGGCTATCCTTGACATTTTTATTGAAAATAGAGATGCAAAACATTATTCTAAATAACAGAAAGAAAATACTAAAAAAATGACGCTCCAAGCAAAACACATATCATGTGGTGAATAAAAATATAGCTCCAAGTAAAGTTACCAATGAACAAAGACGAAAGAGGGGATGCCATCCGGGGCATCCCCAAGCTTAGGCTCTTGGTTGTCCTTGAATATTACCTTGGGGTGCCTTGGGAATCCCCAAGCTTAGGCTCTTGCCACTCCTTATTCCATAGTCCATCAAATCTTTACCCAAAACTTGAAAACTTCAGAACACAAAACTCAACAGAAAATCTTATGAGCTCCGTTAGTATAAGAAAATAAATCACCACTTTTGGTACTGTTGTGAACTCATTCTAAATTCATATTGGTGTAATATATACTGTATTCAAACTTCTCTATGGTTCATGCCCTCCAATACTACTCATAGATTTATCAAAATAAGCAAACAACACATAGAAAATAGAATCTGTCAAAAACTGAACAGTCTGTAGTAATCTATAACTCTCCAATGCTTCTGTAACTCCAAATATCCTACAAAATTAGGAAAACCTGAGAAATTTTCGTACCAATCCATATCAAAAATAATCTGATCAAAATCACGTTTATGTGAATTATCAAAACTAATTTACTGGGCGCAAAAGTTTCTGATTTTCCGTAGGATCAACACAACTATCACCGTAAGCTATCCTAAAGGTCTTACTTGGCATTTTATTAAAACAAAAGCTATAAAACATGATTACTACAATAGCTTAATAATGTGAACACACAAAAACAGTAAGGGTAAATATTGGGTTGTCTCCCAACAAGTGCTTTTCTGTAATGCCTTTTAGCTAGGTATGATGATTTCAATGATGCTCACATAAAAGATAAGAATTGAAACATAAAGAGAGCATCATGAAGAATATGACTAGCACATTTAAGTCTAACCCATTTCCTATGCATAGGGATCTTGTGAGCAAACAATTTATGGGAACAAGAATCAACTAGCATAGGAAAGCAAGACGAGCATAACTTCAAGATTTTCAACACATAGAGAGGAAACTTGATATTATTGCAATTACTACAAGCATATGTTCCTCCCTCATAATAATTTTCAGTAGAATCATGAATGAATTCAACAATATAACCATCACATTAGGCATTCTTTTCATGATCTACTTGCATAGAAATTTTACTACTATCCACATAAGCAAATTTATTCTCATCAATAGTAGTGGGAGCAAACTCAGCAAAATAACTATCATGTGAAGCATAATCCAATTGAAAATTAAAATCATGATGACAAGTTTCATGGTTATATTTTTTGTTTATGGCATACGTGTCATCACAATAATCATCATAAATAGAAGGCATGCTTTCTTCATAATAAATTTGCTCATCAAAATTTGGGGAACAAAAAATATCATCTTCATCAAACATAGCAACCCCAAGCTTGTGGCTTTGCATATCATTAGCATCATAGGTATTCAAAGAATTCATACTAACAACATTGCAATCATGCTCATCGTTCACATATTTTATGCCAAGCATTTTAACCTATAAGGATGCTAGCCGACCCTCCTCCATGGAGCTTCTCCCGTGCACATCGTTCGTGGTCGTCAGATGGGCTTTGACTTCCTCTGCTGACCATTGGATCGGTTGACTGCGTGGTAATAAATTTGACTAGTGCTTGTTTTTCATGTTTGAATGACTTGTGGCCCTTCTTCGGTGAGGTTTGCCTGGTCCTTCGTGGGTGAATTGGATCGTTGGTGAAAGTCAACCTGTCCGGTTGCTACGCGTGGTGGTCGAGGAAAGGCGAAGACAACCGGACGTGCGACGATGTCGAATCGTTTTGCACAGTGCATTCTTTTCCCCCCAGTCCCCACAGCCGCCTCCCACACCCCCTCCTCCTTCCTTCCTTCCTCGCTTGTCACCCGCCACAGCTGCCGCACCCCTCCTCCATCTCTTTCCTCTCGCATCCTCCCGCGTCGGACGCCGCTAGGCTCCTCCCTGTCTCGTCTCGGCCCGACCCAGACGGATCCAGGGGTAGCAGAGAGGAGGAAGGGAGGTAGAACGACAGGGAAGGGGATGAATAGCAGAGAGGAGGAAGGTGGGTAGAGGAACGACGAGGAAGGGGATGGACAGGAGCTTCATGCCCAAAATCCAGTCGCCCCTGGCCGTGCCTACACGAGCAGCGCCGTGGGTAGATGCTTCCCCGCCCAACGAGGATGGCGAGGTAGGTGTTGACAAAGGCAGCCCGAGGCCATCAGATTTGGCACCATCGCCGTTCTTTTGGTCGAGGCCGCTGTCGTTCATGTGCTCCTCCTCACCCCCACGGCTAGATGCTGGCGAGGCCAGCCTCCCCTCATGCGCAGGTACTTCCCCGCTCCTTTCCGTGCTCTCTCTCTTCCCCTGATCTATCTCTGTACACGGAAGCAAATTTGTCCAATTCTCAGTCTAGATTTAATGAAGAAAATTGCAGTTCATACAACGCCAATTATGGATATGGATCCATCTTGCTGCGCCGGATGAAGGGCTGGATGGAATAAGAATTGCTTCCTCTAGATATTATTCACAGAACCGCACTTCGTATAATTATAGTGTACATCTGTTCATGCTTAGCACTATTCGGTGTTTTACTGTTTTGTCACTGGTAGTTGTAGAGATTTCCAGGAAGATATACTCAGGAGGGACTATCTAATAGTCGCTAAAGTTTCTTCTAAACTCGCTCAAACTATTTCTAACCAGGAGAAACGATCTAATAGTTTCTAAGTATGCCTGTTAGATTTTTAGTTTAACTAAGTGAGGCTTGTCTTGTACAATGCACTTGCATCTCTGAACTCCTGCTAAAATTGTTTCACATTTTTCAACAGAGATCGGGTTGTGCTTACTTATACTTCGCTCTAAGCTATTCCTTCATAATTATCATGTATTTCATGTCAGATTATCTTCGTCTCTGGTGTTTCGCTGGCCATTGGGCTGAAGTCAACCGTACAGTTCTTCACAAAGCCCAAGAATCGCAAGGTCATATACATGTAACGATGCAGGCCTAAGAATTAGTCATGTATCCAAATTGTTCAGTTCCAGTTCAGTACTTCAATTATGAGCTAACAAGATCACCTGAATGTGCAGGGTTCGATTGCTTTCAGGGTCGTACTTTTCCTTGTCCTTATTGGCTGGCCTGTCTTCGGTATGATGGCAGATTCGTTTGGTTTTGCCCTGCTATTCAGGTTTGTAGATCCTCTATTATGCATTCATATGATCATCTGATGTCTGTTTTTCAGTGTGCATTAATAAATGGTAGAAACTTTTGGGTATTGTATCTGACTGGTACTGAATTTTCCACAGTAGGTTCTGGCCTACTGCTGCTGTTTACCTACAAAAAAAATCCACCATCGGTTGGATTTTCCAGCACCCTTATGTGACATATGTAAGATCATATTTGCGGCTTTGCTGTTGTTGAGCTGCGTAAATTTTCTTCAAGTCCAACCCAGTCTGGTCGCCACTTCATTTACATGATCTTGTTCTTGTGAGGGATTATTTTTTATGGATCTGAGCCCCCATTGTTCTTGCTGTTGTTTCCCACTCCTGTAATTAACCTTTACTAAGTAGTGTTAGGTCTTCAGCATAACACTGAATATTTAAGCTAATAAGGATACCATTAGATGACCGACCCTGTAATTAACTTTATTCAGTTTATGAACATATATGTACACTACAGAGCATAAAAATGGGAAAATACAAATATGATTGGTGGTTGGTTCACCACCTAAAAATTTGATCTACCAATTATGTTTTAGTGATTTCTACTTGAGCTAAAACCACGACAATAATTTTGGAATGGAGGGAGTACTTATTTGTTGTTGTATCTTTGATAGTTTGATTAAAATATCATGAAGGTTAAAGCGGGCGTGGTTTTGATATATTTTTGTTACAAGATATTACATCGACTTTCTGGTTTGGAAATACTTATAATCGTTTTCTCCTAACTGCATCTGAGCCTACACTTTTGTAGACTACTCAGGATAGAGATGATATAAATGTGAGCAACAAAGTTATTTACTCGGGGATGCATTATATTCCAAGTTAACCTTTGCATTGAGAATATCATCCTATTTTTTATAGGAACAACTCGCTATTAGTGCATCACAATTTTGTGTGGTACGTTTGTTTTTACCTATTCCAGTTCTGAGCCTTACTTGTTCATATGGTTTCAATTGCCGTCTCTCATGTGACGTTGAGAAAATCACATGTATATGCGTATTTTTTTTCCTCTGTACCCTGATTTATCTTAGTCCTTATGTCAAAGATACTGGATGTAGTAACAGATCGACGTACTAACAAATGCAAAGAGAATGGACCTCCTCTTGATTAGCTCAAGAGGACCTGTATAGTGGCTTCATGTAATTTCTTGATTTCCCATAATGATTTCGCTGGCAATTTGTCAGTCTATTTCTAGCTGAAATTGCGTGTATATCTTATAAATTTACATTGCAACAAATTAATAAGGAGTATAGAAGCATTTGCATCTATCTAATATATTTTTATGGTTTGTTTCAAAAAGCTCAAGGTTAGATATGTACTGCTGTATGAGGCTATCATTAGGATGGAAGACAATTAATGTTAAAATATTGTTTGAATTTCCTTCTTTCTGTAAACAGCAATACAAGCTATGTTTGCGCCATGATTCTATTCCAATTTTTTGAACAACTGACAATTAATGACATATCAAATGTTCCGTATTGAAATGGATCATTTTGTCAGGTTGGGTTTAGTAGGTCATAATGGTTTTATTCTACGACAGGATTAATTTTGTTTATACTGTAACCTGTTCAAGGATTGACGAGTTTTCGAACCCTACGATCTTTGCACACTAAGGTTCGGCTGTGTTCTTTGTGAAATATACGTCCTGCAAGTCTCATGTGTCTTGCGTTGTTTTCGCTATCCAAGCTACAAGCTTTTGATATACTCAAAATGAGATTCTTTATATGGTGTTCGATTCCTCTTGCTATCACCACAACGGGAAATGTCTTATGGTGGCAATATGCTCTTCTATGCTATCTGATTGACTCTTTTTATTAGCATGGAGTATAAATTTTACTTCACTAAGATTAATTTCTGTTCACACTGTTCTGTATATAAAAAAGGATTGTTGTGCTTACAAGGTTTATGACATTTTGGCGAAACATTATTTAGTAAAAAAGTATGTAGAGGTGAACTTTAGAGGTGAAATGTTGTGGATGTTCTGACAGAGAGATGCTTGGACTAACTTTAGCGTCACACCTTATCAATATCTGGTATTGGGTTCTACTAATTGTCAGCGCCTTAATTTTTGTTTTCCTCCCAATGCCATGTGATATTTACTGGACTATAATTCACATGCTTGCAAGTCGTCGTCGTCGTCGTCGTGTCTCTCTCTCTAACTGCCCCCCTCCCATCATCTTGGCTTGCAGGTCACCTCCATGTCTCCCGCCAGTCCACGACATAGCTTGCAATCTAGGATGTTGCCAAGTTAACTTAGGATGGTAACCTACAATGTACAACCCAAGAGATCGACAGTGTTTATTATACTGTCATGCCTCTACTTCTGTGTTGCATATATAGCTGCTTGTATATCTAATTGGATTGTTCAGATTAGATACTTCTCTATGAAATTACTAATACATGAATTTTGTTTCTTTAGTTCTCTATGAAATCCATGTGATACTTCTCTGTTGTATACATGGCATGACAGTATAATTTCATAGAGAAGCTCACAAAATCTAATGCTTCTGATGTCAAATTCAGATCAAATTTATTAACTAGCTCATTCAGGTATTACAGCGGAAAACAACATTTGTTTTCTAGATTCAGTTTTTTGTAAAAATAGTCGGATGGCGATTATAATGAAATGTTGCATTTTTTATACAAATTGCTGGTACAATCTGCACCTGGCAAATAAATTTGAACCACTACCTATTTTATCAAGTAAAAACACCAGCATGTTGGTTGAGGTGCATGTATCGGTTGTAGCGAAGTTGTGCGTATAACAATGCATTGCTGACCATGGAGCACTCCAAGTCTTGAGGATATGTACGCCAACTTAGAGACTTACACATTGCCATTGGCTCCTATCGCGACCTAGAGACTTACACATTGCCATTGGCTCCTATCACCATGCAAGTGATCGATGCTTTAGTGTTGAACTATTGATTAATCCCTCTTTTTTCTTTAATCTATGAGATGGTGCCCCTTACCATATATACTTGTTAGGTGGATTCAGTTGAATGATGTATTAGGCATGCTTGATAGTTATAAAGCAAATGTCAAACGATTGCTATTGCTATTATAGAGATGCTTTGAACTATTGTTCATCTGCTATTCAATATTTGATGCTCCTTCATTATTTATATACAGAAGGGCTAAAGCTCCAACCATACATGTTTGCTCAAACCTAAAGTTCGTAACTAATGAAAATATTTGAAAGCGATCATGATTTTAAAGGTACATATCTTTTTAAAAGCCAATGTATATTTTGCTCAAACACAAAGTCATTGAAAAATGCAAATGTTTCAATGCGAACATGATTTCAAGTGGGTCTCTGCAAACATGGTAGCAATTATTTTGTGCTATCAAATTAAAATGTGCATATACATCTCATTATAGAGAACAATCCAACATGCTACTTGTTAGAGAGGATTAAACCATGAATATTTTTCTCATCGCGCACATGGATTTAGCGTGTCTCTGCGCCATTTGGCGCAACGGGTCCACTAGTTCTATGTAATTCCTGTTCTAGTACTTGAGCACAAATTTCCTTCCCATCATTTTCATGAAAGACATTAAAAAGATGAAGTATATGAGGCACCCTTAGTTACATTTTTTGTAGTTTTCTTTTATAAACTAAACTAGTGATAAAACAAGAAACTAAAAGATTCGATTGCAAGATCTAAAGATATACCTTCAAGCACTCACTTCCCCGGCAATGGCGCCAGAAAAGATCTTAATGTCCACTACACAACCTTCTTCTTGTAGACGTTGTTGGGCCTCCAAGTATAGAGGTTTGTAGGATAGTAGCAAATTTCCCTCAAGTGGATGACCTAAGATTTATCAATCCGTGGGAGGCGTAGGATGAAGATGGTCTCTCTCAAACAACCCTGCAACCAAATAACAAAGAGTCTCTTGTGTCCCCAACACACCCCATACAATGGCAAATTGAATAGGTGCACTAGTTCGGTGAAGAGATGGTGACACGAGTGCAATATTGATGGTAGATATAGGTTTTTGTAAACCTGGGCAAACATCGGGCCGGGCCGGGTTTCGGGACGGGCTTGTAAAAGCCCGACCTTCATATCTCAAGCCCGAGCCCGGCCCAAAGCCCGAAATACTCCCTGATTTCAAGCCCGAGCCCGGCCCGAAATCAAGCCCGAAGCCCGAAAGCCCGACCCGAATGCTATTTTTTAGTACGTGTATGTGCAAGCCTGGTCCGAAGCCCAAAAGCCCGGCCCAAAAAATAGAAAAAGAGAAGCCTGAGCCTGGCTCGAACTACCTTTCAGGCTGCAAAACAAAGCCTGAGCCCGGCCCAAGTGTCAAGCCCGGCCCGGCCCGGCCCGGGTTTTTCTGGCCGGGCTCGGGCCGGGTCGTCGGGCCGGGCTGCCCATGCCTGGGTTTAGGTTTTTGTAATCTGAAAATATAAAAACAGCAAGGTAACTAATGATAAAAGTGAGCACAAACGGTTTTGCAATGCTTCGAAACAAGGCCTAGGGTTCATACTTTCACTAGTGCAAGTTCTCTCAACAATAATAACATAATTAGATCATATAACAATCCCTCAACATGCAACAAAGAGTCACTCCAAAGTCACTAATAGCGGATAACAAACGAAGAGATTATTCTAGAGTACGAAACCACCTCAAATTTATCCTTTCTGATCGATCTATTCAAGAGTCTGTAGTAAAATAACATGAAGCTATTCTTTCCGTTCGATCTATCCTAGAGTTTGTACTAGAATAACACCTCAAGACACAAATCAACCAAAACCCTAATGTCACCTAGATACTCCAATGTCACCTCAAGTATCCATGGGTATGATTATACGATATGCATCACATAATCTCAGATTCATCTATTCAACCAACACAAAGAACTTCAACGAGAGCCCCAAAGTTTCTACTGGAGAGTCAAGACAAAAACGTGTGCCAACCCCTATGCATAAGTTCACAAGGTCACTGAACCCGCAAGTTGATCACCAAAACACTACTAGGAAAAGGCCTACTAATGGCGCACTGGTTTTGCCTACTAATGGCGCATTACCAGTGCGCCATTAGTAGCACGCCACTAGTATATTTTACTAATGGCGCACCACTGGTGCGCCATTAGTATCTGGTATACTAATGGCGCACCAAGCAGTGCGCCATTAGTATGTTACACAATGCGCCATTAGTGTGCCTCCCGGGGGGCCATACCTAAGCATGTGCTTTGTCATACTAATGGCGCATGCTATGTTGATGCGCCATTAGTATCCTTTGGCATACTAATGACGCACCTGGTGGTGATGCGCCATTAGTATGAATATTTGTTTTTTTACTTTTCTGATTTTTGCATAGGTTATAAAATATATTATTGGACAGAATATAGACAGCACCACACAGCAACATCAGATTCATCGAATACAATAGAAGATTAGTCTCCGAATACTATTCATCATATTAGTCTCCGAATTCAAAAGACCGAACAAAGATAAAACATTACAAGTCTCAAGACCGCGAGTATCGAGTTTGTCTTCACATTACAAGTTGATATCGATCATCTAAACTACCATCACATAGAAGAGAGTTGTGGTCATCACGATGAGCATCATCGCGATCAAACTGGTCTTCATCCGGTTCCTCCAACGCTCCCTCCTCTCTCCCACTAGATAGCGGGCGTATCTAGATTTGGCCTCCGACCTAGTGGTGTACCCTTTGTAACTGTTACCGCTGAAACGGTGAATCTGTCTCCGACACTCCTCGCAGTCATCGTAGACTCCGGGAACCTTACCCTTGTACACGACATACGACGGCATCTCTATGCACAAGCCAAACAACAGACAATACATAAGCAATATGTAAGTATGCAACAAAAGGATTGGAAGAGAAAAGCAAGACATTAATAGCACGATTCATGGTCCTACTAATAAATAACATCGATTACATCTAAGTTGAACGACTGTCCAAACCAAAGAGACATACGAATTCATTAAAGTTTAATTACAACATGAGCCAATCAATGTTTCAGAACTACACATCACTACTTTCGACTCGACTCATCGGACAGGAGCGTGGATGAAGCCGCCGTCTGTCGTGATGGTCATGAAATCGCGGTCGTTGTAACCCTGCATTTGTAGCATTCCATCTATCTCATTGTTGGACGGTTGATATCTGAGGAAGAACTGCCCCGGTATGAAGGACATCTTGATGGATGATGTCCGCAAAGTCCGACTGGATGCGAAAGAATTCTTGTCTGAGGTCCGCGTCTTGGATTGCCGACAAGTTCGCGGCCCAATCTTTGAGATTATCTGGTAGCAGAAGTTGATGATGGTCCCTTACGATCGCCCGCATGTGATGGAGGGCGTAGTAGGCATCCTTCTGACCGCCAGGCGGCTGCTTGACGCAGCAGAACTTCGTATTGTGTGAGAACATGTGCTTGCCGTACTTACGAACAGTCCTGGTGAAGGTGCCTCCAGATTTGGCATAGCCGGGGAGAACATCATCAAGAACTTTCTTGACATTTGTGTAGTCTATCTTGGAGTTACGGTTCGGGTCGAAATACGTGGCCATGGAATATTTCGGGCTTAAGAGGATGAGTGTGCAATGTGTGTCACTGCACAGAACACGGAATGTTAGAAAAAAAAGAACGATCGAAATCTAAGAAATCATATGTTACGGGGCGGTTAAGGGATGACTTACTCGGGAAAGTAAGCCACAAGGAAGTTATCCTTATCTGGGTTTGCCAGAATGACGCCTTCGAGGTGTGAACTCGCAACTTGGCGGTCCCCAATGCTGCTCAAGTGCTTGGCACGCATGTAGAAGGGGTCGACTATCACGATGTCCGGGGTCTTGTCTCTAATGATCCGCATCTCCATACTCAGCGAAAACAGCCGAACGAAGGTGTAGTGCAGCGGATGAAGGTTAAACATAGCAAAGATGTCATCAAACCGCAGGACGATCATACCCCCGATGTCGCCATCCACAAAGCCCTTGCCCTCTGGCACCTTGGCCACGAAAACCGGGTATGCCACATCCTTCTCTCTGAGACGCCGCTTCTCCAAAGAAAGAACACTGTCGTGCAGACTCCGTATAGCACCGGTTGCAGCATTCAGCATATTTGGCGGTAGCATCGCCCTACCCGCCACATGCACCCTCCTCGAGATACCCTTAGGTGAAGGTGGCCCGTCCTGAGCACGGATCGAACTCGGTGCCAGCTAGCTTGCACCGGCGCCCTTGTTAGTCTTTCGTTTCCGTCCCTTCTTGATCTCCTGTAATGGGACCGAGTTCTGCTCACAGACCGCC